GCGACTTAGGCAAGGCTGCAAGACATTAGAAGCTAAATAACTCATTTGACACACTTTAGGGGAAGGTAACCTGGCCCCGGCATTGCACCGGGAGGGTCTCTGGTGATGAGGGCCTCGTAGCGGCGGGCCAAAGTTGGAATAAAGAGGGCTAGCTTATCCCAGTCGGAGATTACAGAATATTAGCAATCTCTCGGCAGGGCGCGGTGGGCCATCACGGCCCCTGTGCTTTATCACTGGCCGGCCAAACATGGCGGGACGGAGAGACGCTCATCTCAGACAAGCATGATACATCGCCTCGTTCTCTGTCTTTTACTTTCTTCCCGCACTTCCCCGCCGCCGCCGCTGCTGCTGCTGCTGCTGCACGTGTTGCTCTTGCTGTTGCAGATGCTGCTGCTGCTGCTGTTGCTATTGCTGCTTCTGCTGGATGTGGTGGTGGTGCTGTTTCTGCTGCTTGTGGTGGTGCTTGTGTCGTACACACGCAGTAGTCTGCATGTGCATGTGTACATTAGTCTGCGTGTGTACTTGCGTGGAGACGGTGCGTGCGTGAGTGTAACCAGGATATAAGCCTCACTTGTGCACAGGTACAACCCACACCTGCTCACACATGTGCACAGGTACAACCCACACCTGCTCACACATGTGCACAGGTATAACCCACACCTACTCACGCATACATCTGCCTCCCTCCCTCCCTCCCCAACCCTACCCCCTCACCACGAGTTAATAGCCATGGCTTTCTCCCATAACTGCGCGAGACACTTGCGCGCCCTGCCAGCTGCATTGTGGGCAGAGCATGATTTAAAGGCGTGAGGTGCACGACAGATAACGACCGAGGTTCGCCGCGAATTCCTGGCAGCAGGCCAGTAATGCCGTCAAGTTCTTTTCCCTCTGCCACTCCGTTAAAAAAGGCGACTGTTTAGCCCCGACCTGAGACGTACGAACTTAAGCAATCTACCTAATACAGTGGATTATATTATCTGTATAGATAAGCGCCAATAGTAAGGTGCTTTGGATTTCACTAATGGGTTCGCGATTTTAACGAGGTGTGGAGGGGTGGGGGCGCATTCCTGGTTTCTTCCTCAATTACTGCCCACGACCCATGATACATGTTTACCCTTGCTATACCCACAACACATAGCCCTGCCATACCTCACGATACATGCAGACGAGGAGTCACAATAACGTGGCTGAAATATGTTTGACCAAACCACACATTAGAAAGTGAAGGGACGACGACGTTTCGCTCCTTCCTGGACCTTTATCAAGTCGAGACATGCTTGTGCCAGGGAGGGAGGGTGAGAGAACCTTGAGTTGTTCTCTTGGCCTCAAGGACAGTTTAGTGTGGCGCTATCCTTCTTGGCGAGAGATAGCAGACAGACTAAGTGCGTCCCCAACTATGGGCTTGGCACAAGCGGATTCACTGTAGTATCGAAGGGTGTTGAGTCATGGGAGGCTGGCTATCAAGCCTCCTAAACATAACTCGAGTCTACTTTCTGGGGTCGCTAGAGCAGGGGTCTACGGAGCCTTTAGAAATAAAGAAGGTTCAAAGATCCATTGCTCATGGCGGTGAGGCGAGCCTTCAGAACATAGCCATGTGATCTTTGTTTACTTGTGATGGATTTACTAGACTAGATTTACTAAACTAGATTTATTCCTCCAAGGAGTGCCGGACCAACCGGGCTGTGGTGGGTATGTGGGCCTGCGGGCCGCTCCAAGCAACAGCCTGGTGGACCAAACTCTCACAGGTCGAGCCTGGCCTCGGGCCGGGCTTGGGGAGTAGAAGAACTCCCAGAACCCCATCAACCAGGTATCAACCAGGTATGGGGGTTAAACCGTGAGATATGAGTTCAACAGTTTATATATATATTTATCTGTTTCTAACTTAAATGATAAAATATGTAGTTTTTATAACATAGATTTTGACTTTTACCCTGGAAACACAAAGCGAAACTGTTTATTTTCCGCTTGTTACATCTTGTAATAAAGTTGTTACATCTTGGCTTAACGTGTTTATGACGTATTAGAACGTTGTTACAACTTGCTATATTGGTTGTTATAACTGGTTAGAAAGTGTTAAAACTTGTTTGAACGTTGTACCAACGTCGTGGTTTCGGTGTGTGTTTGGCGGGTATATAGCTTATTCCAATCGCACGTCATTGCGTGCACGCAAAATCTCATTTACATACGCAGGTCTCACGCACAAATATGACGCTGCTCACGCAAGTGGTTGACGGGTGTCAAAGGGGACATTAATGAATTTTCTCCAGTTTGGCTCTTAAATAAAGATTAAAATAAATATAATAAATAAATTAAAATAAAATAAAAAATAAAATTAAATAAAGATTAAAAAGAGGAACATAAGACAACTTTTTTGTCTTGTATCCAAAAAGTGGCGGTTGGTAGAATGCGCACAGAACGACTTTAAAAGTTTTTTTTTAGGCTAGGAAAGGGTCTGTTACTCTAAGAATGCGCGAATCTACTTCAAGGGAGAACACTGCGCGGTCTCGGAGAACGAGCTGTGTTCACATATACACTGAATTGTGTATATGTGACATACATTCAAAATTAGTGAAATTCAAACATACATAATTTTCGCATCTCAAGGTAAGTCACTGTGGTGACTTACTTTGAGACAAGGCAAGTCACCACAGTCAAGCCTTATTTTCAACTCATTCATGAATAAGTCAAGCCTTATTTTCAACTCATTCGTGAATAAGTCGAGCCTTATTTCCAACTCATTCATGAATAAGTCGAGCCTTATTTTCAACTCATTCATGAATAAGTCAAGCCTTATTTTCAACTCATTCGTGAATAAGTCGAGCCTTATTTCCAACTCATTCGTGAATAAGTCGAGCCTTATTTTCAACTCATTCATGAATAAGTCAAGCCTTATTTTCAACTCATTCATGAATAAGTCAAGCCTTATTTTCAAGCTTTAGCCTTATTACTCGTTTGATTAACGAGACTCTGGCCAATGTTTATACTGACGGCCTGTGATTTTTGATTAGGTGTACTTTGAAAATTGGAAGTAAATGAAGCACTTTCTTGAGAACCGTTGTTGGGTAATCAATCGCGCAGCCTGTCTTCGTAAACAATGGTCGAGCGATCGTTACTCCACTCCCCAGAGGCCAGATTCACGAAAGCACTTACGAACCTGTACATCTTTACTCAATCTTTGGCGGCTTTGTTTACAATTATTAAACCAGTTAATGAGCTCCGAAGCACCAGGAGGCTGTTTATAACAATAACAACAGTTGATTGGCAAGTTTTCATGCCTGTAAACTGCTTAATAAATGTAACCAAAGCCGTCAAAGATTGAAGAAAGATATACACGTTCGTAAGTGCTTGCGTAAGTGCTTTCGTGAATCTGGTCCCAGACTCCCTGTTTACGAATAAACAAAGACTTTCCATGTGCCTCAAACAAGCTGAGCATCCTCAGGTCCTCTCAAGTCATCACACCCTTACCTTGCGATGATTTCGGGGCTCAACGTCCCCCGCGGCCCGGTCCTCCTTCTAAAACGTCACTAAAAATGGTGTAAAATGATCCATAAACGATCACAAACGCTGTAATTTACAGACTTGGCGCAACACAGTGTTACCTGCCACAGTGACTCAGTTATGGGATTCTGGTCCTTGGAGCCAGGGTGCTGTAGGCACATTCTTCCTATACACAAGCTCTTGGGATCGTCACTTTTAATCACTTTTCAAAGATTTCGTCACACACCTAGCCTTACTGGCCGGCCAGGGAGCACGTGTGTGTGTGTGTCTCCACACCTGCTGGGGAACAGTCCCTTCAGTGTTGTAGGGACACTACAGTACTTCTGTTGTAAAGAAGTACTGTAGTGTCAGGTGTAGTAGTACTACACTACAGAACTACTGTAGTGTAGTGTAGTAGAAGTACCAATCATCTTTTGATGTACTTCTGTGCTTTTGATGTGTGTGTGTGTGTGTGTGTACTCACCTAGTTGTACTCACCTAGTTGTGTTTGCGGGGGTTGAGCTCTGGCTCTTTGGTCCCGCCTCTCAACCGTCAATCAACAGGTGTACAGATTCCTGAGCCTATCGGGCTCTGTCATATCTACACTTGAAACTGTGTATGGAGTGAGCCTCCACCACATCACCCCCTAATGCATGTGTGTGTGTGTGTGTGTGTGTGTGTGTGTGTGTGTGTGTGTGTGTGTGTTTACTATTTGTGCTGGTAGGATTGAGGTTATATTTATATTTCCTTTCCTAGCTCTTTTGCATCTGTGCCCACATGAGTAACCAAACAGTACCCACATGAGTAACCAAACAGTACCCACATGAGTAACCAAACAGTACCCACATGAGTAACCAAACAGTACCCAGCACCTACATGAGTAACCAGACAGTACCCACGTGAGTAACCAGACAGTACCCACATGAGTAACCAAACAGTACCCAGTGCCAACATGAGTAACCAGAGAGTACCCAGCACCTACATGAGTAACCAGACAGTGCCCAATACCCACATGAGTAACCAGACAGTGCCCAATACCCACATGAGTAACCAGACAGTGCCCTATGAGTAACCAGACAGTACCCAGTACCCCACATGAGTAAAAAAAGAGTACCCAGCACCCACGTAAGTAACCAGACAGTACCCAGCACCCACATGAGTAACCATAGAGTACCCAGTGCCCACATGAGTAACCATAGAGTACCCAGCACCCACATGAGTAACCATAGAGTACCCAGTGCCCACATGAGTAACCAGACAGTACCCAGCACCTACATGAGTGACCAGACAGTGCCCAGTACCCCACATGAGTAAAAAAAGAGTACCCAGTGCACACATGAATAACTAGACAGTACCCAGTGCCCACATAAGTAACCAGAGAGTACCCAGCACCCACATGAGTAACCAGAGAGTGCCCAATACCCACATGAGTAAAAAAAGAGTACCCAGTGCCCACATAAGTAATCAGAGAGTACCCAGCACCCACATGAGTAACCAGAGAGTACCCAGCCCCCAGTACTCACACACGCGGAAGCTCTAGGAGAAAGGCACACCATCTGTGGAAGAATCAATACGTTAAACTCCATTTTTACTTTCAAAGAAGTTAGAAACCTTTATTAGTTTTTTTTGTATTTTGCTAATTGGTTTCAGTTATAGTTAGTAACTGAGTGTAAAATACAGCGGTGTTGTATACATGTAAGTGATGAGGGTTAGTTATATACAGCTATACACATATACATGAACATATAAATGCCCTTTTACATATAAACATTCAGTTATACATAAATTGAGAATACATTTTAAAGGATTTAAAAAGAAGACTGAGAAGATTTAGAGATTTGCCTACCATAATAATGCCTAGAATTACGACAGTTGGGTAGACAGTGTGAGAGGAATGAACTTGACAGGGTTCAAGTTGAAGGGAGTGAACTTGACGGCGTTTAAGTTGAAGGGAGTGAACGTCACAGCGTTCAAGTTGAAGGGAGTGAACTTGACTGCGTTCAAGTTGAAGGGAGTGAACGTCACAGCGTTCAAGTTGAAGGGAGTGAACTTGACTGCGTTCAAGTTGAAGGGAGTGAACGTCACAGCGTTCAAGTTGAAGGGAGTGAACGTCACAGCGTTCAAGTTGAAGGGAGTGAACGTCACAGCGTTCAAGTTGAAGGAAGTGAACTTGACTGCGTTCAAAAATACTTGGGCCAACACACAAGGCCCAATAGCAGGGCAGCCACGACACACAAATAGGTAGCAAGTGGGTAGAGAATTAACCAATCAGACAGAACTGCAATGGTCAAATCGAGGAACAGCAGAAACAGGGGAACATGGAAGGGGACAATTGGAACACAACGAGTTTTGTGAGATGAACAAATCCACAAGGGCCGTGACGAGGATTCGAACCTGCGTCCGAGAGCATCCCAAACGCTGCCTTAATCGACTGAGTTACGACATGGCCTACGACTCAGTCTATGATATGTCGGTAGCAACTTCAGTGCGGGTGTTGTACAAAGATGGAATGGATTATGTACAGTAGTTGTTTGAAATTGACGCAATGCACAACAATTTTAACTGCAATTATTATAATTAAAACGAGTTACACATACATACACACAGTTGATTAACAGTTGAGAGGGATTAAAAAAGCCCCGAAACTCAACCCCCGCAAGCACAATTAGGAAACCACACACACACACACACACACACACACACACACACACACACACACGCACACACACACACACACACACACACATGAGGGGACATGATCACAACCAAGGGGGGACATGATCACAACCTACAAAATCCTCAGGGGAATCGACCGGGTAAACAAGGACGAACTTTTCAACACTGGTGGGACGCGAACAAGGGGACACAGGTGGAAGCTGAGTACCCAAATGAGCCACAGAGACGTTAGAAAGAACTTTTTCAGTGTCAGAGTAGTTAGCAAATGGAATGCATTAGGAAGTGATGTGGTGGAGGCTGACTCCATTCACAGTTTCAAATGTAGATATGATAGAGCCCAATAGGCTCAGGAATCTGTACACCAGTTGATTGACGGTTGAGAGGCGGGACCAAAGAGCCAGAGCTCAACCCCCGCAAGCACAATTAGGTAAGTACAATTAGGTAAGTACACACACACACACACACACACACACACACACACACACACACACACACACACACACACACACACACACACACACACACACACACACACACACACACACACACACACACACACACACACACACACACCTTGGTGCTGTGCTACAGCCAACATAACCTCACTTTACAAAGCGTAAGAGAGACATAACTTACGCACGTAAGAAAATAATCAAACTAAAGCACCAAGTCAAGAAATACTAACAATAGACAGGCAGAAAATTTCGTTGAGAGAAAAGTTTCATAAAGCTGAACAAGCCAGAGCTTGTTCAGCTTTACCTCAACGGCTCTGGGGCCAGATTCACGATATCACTTACGCAAGCACTTACGAACGTGTACATCTTTCCTCAATCTTTGACGGCTTTGGTTACATTTATTAAACAGTTTACAAGCATGAAAACTTCCAATTCAACTGTTGTTATTGTTATAAACAGTCTCCTAGTGCTTCGGAGCTTAACTGTTTAATAATTGTAAACAAAGCCGCCAAAGACTGAGAAAAGATGTACAGGTTCGTAAGTGTTTGCGTAAGTGCTTTAGTGAATCTGGCCCCTGAACCCTAACAGGTTTACCATGCACGGGGACGAGTAACACGCTTAGCAGAGTGATTAATGGAACCTTCAGAGCGTGGAGCCATTTTGACGATAAAGCAACAAGGTTTAGGAACAGTAAAATTCCACATTGCAAATTTGGTGCAACGACTGATAAGGATGTACTTAAGCAGCATCCCCGCAAACAAACAACGCAATCACAACGTCTCTTTTACGTTGTTACAAGGTCATTAACGTTAACAAACGTTGTGGCTACAGGAGAAAATCTTGCGAGCAGGATATGTGCCGCGCGCGCGCGCGCACGGGGTGAGTGAGGACGCTGGCTCTTTCCTACCAACCACCGACCTTCCAGAAAGTTACAACTTTCTCGTGGATATCTCAAGCTATCTGTGGATACATAATGATAGAGGGTAAAGAGCTAGTCTATCGGGAGAAACAGTAAGCGTAGCGATGTGTAACCACCCGGGTTCCTTAGAGGAATCATCAAGGAAGTCCGACCAATCTGTAAGAATTGGCATTGAAAGGTTTCTAGACTTCAACTCCAGCAAATGCAACGTAATGAAGATGCGTGCATGGAACCAGCAGGCACAAAATCACCTGGAAAGGGGAAAAAAATCCCCAATCGTGTCAGCAAAGTGGACAGCCCAGTTGTATATAGGCATTAGTAACGCTATGTACAATGGAGTTCAGTATCTTCTGCGCTGTTAAATCTCAGTTGAAATATTATTTGGTTTGTAACCCGTGCACTGTGTTAGATAATGTTCTAGTGGTCTCCTGGGCCACTTTGGTCTGTTCCACTGGTCTCCCGGGAAACTTTGGTCTGTTCCAGCGGGCATCCGGGCCACTTTGGTCTGTTCCAGCGGTCTTCCGGGCCACTTTGGTTTGTTCCAGCGGTCTCCCGGGCCACTTTGGTCTGTTCCAGCGGTCTCCCGGGCCACTTTGGTTTGTTCCAGCGGTCTCCCGGGCCACTTTGGTTTGTTCCAGCGGTCTCCCGGGCCACTGCGGTCTGTTCTACTGGTCTCTGGGATAATGTCCAGAGAGCTGACATTTCCAGCAGCCCGGCGGACACCTGTACTCACTCTTCACCTTCACTTAAACAAAGAGTCACCCCGTGCTCGCTCCAGAAGACCTCTTGTGGAGGTCTAGAGATTAGGCTGCCCTCAAGCTAGAGATGATGATGATGGGGGGAGAGAGAGAGAGAGAGAGAGAGAGAGAGAGAGAGAGAGAGAGAGAGAGAGAGAGAGAGAGAGAGAGAGAGAGAGAGAGAGAGAGAGAGAGAGTGACAGAGACAGAGAGTGACAGAGACAGAGAGAGACAGAGAGAGAGACAGACAGAGAGAGAAGCTTTATTAAACAAAAAAAACATTGTCTTAACACTTGGACGGCTGCCATAGGGTTGGCGGTTAGACAACTTGTGTGAGGTTTTAGATATGAGTAATAATGAAAAATCGTGTTTGCTTTCCCTTGAAGCTTTCCTCGTGAGACTCACTCTCTCTCTACCTCCACCCTCATCCCGCCTCTCATGTCCTCTTGCTACATTCAGTTAACGCGATTCTAACTGTTTCCGATATTTTGCACGCATGTAATGTAATTGGTCATATTTGAATCGTATTCCCACATTAATAAACCATGGCGTGTTTGTGCTTACTATTTGCATATATTAAATGGGCATGCAGGATCGAGGCTCTAGCTCTTGGACCAGCTTTTCTAACCGTCGGTTGTCTAATGTATTGACTATTGATCTATTTTTCTCTTCAATTTCAAGTACATATATTCCCCTCCCTCTCTCTCTCTCTCTCTCTCTCTCTCTCTCACACACACACACACACACGTACACATGCAGCCCCCCAATAGCTTACTAACTCACAGGTACTTATTTACAGCTAGGTGAACACAGGCAACATGTGAAAGAAACTTTGCTCATTTATTCCTGATTCACCCGGGAATCAAACCCGGGCACGTGGACTGCGAATCTGCATTTGTTCCCGATGCCTTTTTTTTCCAGCGTCGTGTCGATCTGGTTGTGAATGATATCCGGTCCTGAAGCTGAAAATGGTGGAGACTTCACCTCTCAGTAAACCTTTCAGTAAACCCCAGTCTCGTTGGCTCAGAATACCGCGGACGCTGGTATACGACTCTCACTCACTCCCAGTTTACACCCATTGATTTCTTGGTTTTCTTCTTATCGCAGCTTTGAGAAAGTTGCCCCTCCTTGTCGGTTTTTTGTTCAGTATTTAGTGATGATATCCTGTGTTATCCTTAAGGAGGTTATCGTCGAAGAACTGAACTGGAGGTCTCATCTGACCATCCAGATGGTCCTGAGCATCCAAATGGTCCTGAGCATCCAGATGGTCCTGACCAATCAGATGGTCCATACATGTAGTCGTTGCTTTACACAATCACGAAAAATCTTTCACGATCATTGTCTTCACCCTCATTTTTGGCACTATCCAACGTCCTCAATCCATACTTCGTACGTAAGAAACCTGGGGACAGCCCATAAGGAAGAGATAAGAATAAAGTCATTCAAGAGGAGACGGGACCACCTCGAACTACTCAATCCACAGCATTAGCTGTTTAACTTCCATTACACCTTTTGAGTGTCAAAAGTCATTTGCCATTCCAGTCATTTTGACCTTGTATACAAGCTAATGAACAACCTAACTTACTCATCAATCACTCATCACGCGCGCGAAGATGATCAACGCAATCAAATACTCAAATCGAACCTGACATTTCCACACATCCCTTCCACACAATCCAGTCAATTTTCACACATTCCAGTCAATTTTGACACATTCCAGTCAATTTTCACACATTCCAGTTATTTTTCACACAATTCAGTCAATTTTG